TGATTTTCACGCCACAATATCTCAATTTTCACGTGAGAATCACGCCACAACATCTCATTTGTTGTCACATGAAAATCACGCCACAAAGTTTCTATTAAATAAAAAATATAAAAAATATTTTTAAAAAATAACTTACCAAAGCTTTTTTGGTACGTTCGTCAATAAAAACCTCCAATTTTTTTGTCCGAGTCTTTATAATCAGCTCTGTCATTAGTGGTGGTCTCCCCAAACTCTTAGCCTAAATAATAAAATTAACTTTAATTAAAAATATATTATAAATCAAAATATAACTTAAAAAGGTGGTAATAACTACCATGCGTCGAGCATGCTCAGCAGTACTTATACTTCCAACTGCATTAAGGCTACTCCATTTTTCAGATGCTCTCATTTCCTTTATATTTTCAGATTTAACCTTAAATTCAGGTGAATTCCAATAGACAGGAAGTTCATCAAAAACTTATTTTCCTATCCAATTAGGATGGATATTTTCACGTTTCCAACGCTTTCTAGCACGTCATAACATGTCAAAAAGTCGTCTTGATATTTTGCCATAATAATTTCTTTTAACGTCTCTCTCATTCAATTGTTTCCACGTACACTTTTCATGCAATGTTGTATGACATTAAAATAAATAGTTAGATAATTATAATAAAAATTAATTTAAATAAAAATAACTTAATAAATAAATTAATTATACCTTAAATAATCTAAACCAATCTTTTTTTCTTTCTAGTCAACATCTTTAAGTCTCTTCTAAATTTTTTTATACAATTGCTGAATTACATAACTTATAAACTATGCATCAATTTGACTCGGCCTGAAACTAAACAACAATAATTTAAATTAGCACATGTTTGGTTGGTGAACTGAATGCAATTGGTAGCAATTGTTCCATAAAAACAAAACAATCATGACTTTTCATACCATGCAACTTCTCAGTGTTAGTGTCGGCACACCTTGCTAAATTTGAAGAATAACCATCGGGCATTCTCAATTCTTTTAACCATCAAGAAATCGCTTTAGCTTCTTGGGAAGTTGGACTGTAATTAGCCTTGGGATTTAATAATTTTCCATTTGATTGAGGCTTCAACTCCAACTCTTTTCGATTGCACTTAATTTACATGTCTTGTCTAGCCTTCTCAATATCTTTTGTTTTTTCTTTAAAATCCATTACTCTGTTAAATACAATATCAAAAAATTATTCTCAATATGCATAACATCAAGATTATAGTGCAATAAATTACCTTTCTAATATGGGAGGTCCCAAAATATATTTCTTTTTTTTTCTAATTGTGTGTAATCCCATATCCTTGAATTCTTATTTCTTTATCATTATTTGTGAATTTTGGTAGTTCACAAACTTGGTTCCATACTGCACCTGGTGACGATCGAGGCGGAGGAAAATCTATTACTCATTTGTATTTTTTGAAATCAGTCTTGTTTCTTCTATATAGATAATTTCTTGGTAGGAATCTGCGGTGACATTAAAACCTCAAGCTTTTCTCTCCTTTTCCAACGTAAATGCCTAGGTGTTCCCATGTAATGCGGACATCCCATTTTGCCATGTGTATCCCAACCAGACAACATATCATATGCTAGAAAGTAATTAATGGTCCACATCAAGGAAGCTCACAAAGTAAAGTTTTGTTTACAAGATTAATCATAAGTTCATTCTCCAATCCATAACCTCTTCAAATCATCCATTAAAGAATGTAAGTACACATCGATTCCGGCTTTTGGACTCGACAGTCCTGGAATGAGGTAGGTCAAAAACATGTATGGTTTTGTCATGCACATCTCAAGAGGGAGGTTGTAAGGGGTTACAATAACTGGTCAACAAGAATACACACTTCCTGATGCTTGAACATATAGAGCAAAACCATCAGAGCATAATCCAAGCCTGACATTTCTAGGTTAAGCGAAAAAATTAGGATGTATTCGATCAAAGTGCTTTCATGCCTTGCCATCATATGGATGGGGCATAGTGCATGGACTTATTTTGTTTATATAATGCCATATCATTTGACTTGCATTGTATATTGAAGCAAACATTATTTTAACACTGGTATTATCGGAAGATAAAACATGGACTTTACTACTACATGTTTTAGCTTACAGTTAATGACTTTATTACAAATTTGATATCTTGAACTCTTACAGAACTTACATTCCTCCAACAATTCATCATTAGTACCAAACTCATTGTCATAAAATAACATGCAACCACTAATGCAACAATTAATCTTTCTTACTTCTAAATCCAACTTTTTTGCATCATAAAAAGTTGTAGGCAAGTTGTCTTTTGTAGGAGTCGCATCCAGCATCATTTTTGTAAAGAATTCCAAACACTGATCATGAACATTCTGATTTGACTTGGCGACCAATAATCTCACAATTGATAAATTTGAGTCTGACGAGCCCTCAAACAACAACAACATATTCATCTCATTCAATAACTGATAAAATATTTGCGCTTCTTCATTTGAAAACTCTTTCCTATCAAAATCTTCAGGCTCATTATAGGTCACGTTCATACCAAAAACATCGCCAACCATCTCACCGATCAGATTAAAGTTTTCCTCATATTCTATAGGTGATCGACTACTTGAAGCGTGTGTATTACTAGTCTCCGGTATGTTACTCGGAATTACTTCTCCATTATATATCCAAACCTAATAATTTTCAATGAAGCCCCTTCTCTTCAAATGACACTCTACTTCCCTTGGGTCACTAATTATATGTCTACATTCACATATAAGACAATGACACCTAACTCCTCCTTCGCTTCGACAATATTCTAAAGCAAATGTCCATGTGATAAACTCTTTAACTCCTTCCTCAAAATTGGATTTGAGTCCATGTCTTCCTAAATACAACATATCGTACATCTAAATACGATAGTACCGATAATATTCCATATTGCACATTTATAACTATTCTTAATATATTAACTACAAATAAATTTCATACTATTTATTTATAAGATAAACATGTAATATTTTATATTTTTAACAAATAATTATTATGTTCTATTTTAAAACAAACATATTATAAACATATAATATTTTACAAAGAATTTTGTTTTTAAATAAAAATAAAATATACATATAACATATAAAACAAATATGTTACAAACATATAAAATATATTATAATGCATATAACAACCATATATTCTATTTAAAAAAATATTATTATGTTTAAAAAAACTATTATTCATTTAATAAATATATAGGGTTATATATGTTTTTGGTCTCTATAAATATCTCAAATTTCATTTTTAATTCTTATATTAAAAATGATATATTTTGATCATTGCAAAAATTTTATGCATGCAATTTTAGTGCTTATTATTTTCTATAATTTTGAAAAGTGTTTAATTACCCTTAAACTTTTAAATTATTGAGAAAAAAAATTCATACATGTTTAGAATACTATAAAATATTTCTTTACCAAATTTTAGAGTTTTTTAAAATGAGAACCATTAAATATGATTTTTTTAAATTTCAAAAGAAAAATATAAAAGTAATAAAATTATCGATTTAAAAATCAAATTTGTAGTACTTTTTTTAGAAATTTTTTATAAAATTCTAAACATGTCTGCAAAATAATTATTCAAAAATACATATTGATTTAACAGCAGAGACTAAAATTACGTGCATAATAATTTTGTAGAGAACAAAACATGTCCATTTTTTATAAGTAAAAATAAAATTTGATGATTTATAGAGTTCAAAAATATTTTAATCTAAATATATATATATATATATATATATATATATATATATATATATATATATATATATATATATATATATATATATATATATATATATATATATATATATATATATATATATATATATATATATATATATATATATATATATATATATATATATATATATATATATATATATATATATATATATATATATATAAAATTAATAATTAAATTTAAAACAAAAATTTTAAAAAATTAACAAGAAAGAGGTGAGATAGAATGGAAATTATATCTTTGAGTTGAGTATGGAGTGAAATTGGACAGTGAATTGAGAGAATGAACGAAAGGTGCGGGTGGTTGGAGAGGAAGAAGAGAGAAATAATTGTTGTAAATGAAATTGGTTTTTGGAAATGAATGAAGTTTGGAGATTTATAAACAATACAATGATATGATTTTCACGTTGCAAGTTAGTGAAATAAAAATCACGTCGCAACTCTTCGACAGTAAGAATATTGTGATGCGGTAATCATGACACTAATTAAAGTTGTCAATCAACTGCAACCCATCACTTTCATATCAGTCAACTCTCCCAATTTAATTTTCTGAATTTCTGAAATAAGCATTGCGACATGATATATATGTCACAACCTAAATTTTTAAAATTTTCAAATTTCTCCATTTGAATGCATGGTGTTTTTAATTTTTTTTATTTTAAATTTTATGTTGTAACGTGATTTCGACGCTATTTTTTTTTAATTTCTGACTCCTCTTGTGTTAGCGTTACTTCTATTATTTTAATATTAAAAACATATAACGACATGATAAACACGTCACAACTGTCTTTTTTATATCATATATTTATCACGTCACTAAATCACGTGGCAGAAATAATTTTTCATGCAGTGCAATATCCTATTATTTTCAAGAAATACACCCTTAAATGAACTAGTAAATTAGTTTTTGAAAATATTTCATAAGTTTTTCAATCCATCCTTTAAAATATGAGAGTCTATTGGAATTTTTTTAATAGTATCTATTTAAATAAAATATATTGTCAAAAGAATCATTAAAATAATATATTTTAATAAATTTTATCTAGAAAGAAAATTTTCAAATATTTCTTTATCTTTAAAGATTATTTTATCTAGAAACAAAATTAAAATCCAACTTTAAAAAAAAAAAAGAAAAAGAGTTGGGTCCAAGTTTGTCATAGTTGAAACACTTATAAATATGCTATCACATTGTTAGTCTTGTTCATAACAAAACATATCTCAACAATGAGTGACAATAGATCTGCACCATCTTCTCTGTCTCAAAATGTTGCTAAGAAAAAGAGGGGTAGACCCCAGGGTTCAAAAAATAGACCCAAACCAACTTCCATTATTAAGGAAGAATCTAACATTTTGGAACCAATTCTTATTGAGATCCCTCAAGGAAGAGATGTTGTGGAGTCTCTCATTAACTTAGCAAGGTCTCATCAAGCTGGAATCAGTGTAATGTCTGGTTCTGGTTTTGTCTATGATGTTACCATTATCAACCCAATAACTCGTGCCCTGAATTTTCCCATAGGAGGACCGATCTATATGAAATCTCTCATGGGAACTTACATAAATCCTAATATTGGTCAGGCTTCTCCCTCCATCTTGAGCACTACAACAATAAATCCCTTTTTCTCCATTACTCTCTCTAGTGGTGATAAAGAACATTTGTTTGGTGGAGTTGTTGGAGGGAAGCTAATGACTGCTGGAAATGTTTTGATTACTGCAGCTTTTGTTAAGAAATCTAAAGTTCATAGGCCGCACATAAATAATGGAAAATTTCACCGTATTAAGTTGCCTCTAATCAAGATTGATAATTTTGAATGAGTACAACAACTTTTCCAACATTTATGATTAGTCATTGTCTAGCATAAATAAAATGTTTTCCTTTATATTGTTGCTTTATGTTTTTTGAATATTGAATAAAGTCTGTTTATTTTCCTGCTGTTAATTTCTTTAATTTTATTGTGTAGTCAATTACTTAAATCTTTGGGGATTGATTTGTGGTTGAAGATTGTAACTTAAACTTTTTTGTTGGTGTTGTGTATTTTTCTGCACCCTCGAGAATGATAAATTACATATCAAATATACTTTTTGTTGAATAGAATAGAATAAGTTCTAAAGAATAATTGTTTTATTTTATTGAAAAAATAATGGTTAAGAGTTAGAAATAATATGGAATATAGCGGAATGATATCGAATTTCATATTACTCGTAAATATATAATAAATGGAAAGCATACATTTTTCCTTTTTTCATATATATATATATATATATATATATATATATATATATATATATATATATATATATATATATATATATATATATATATATATATATATATATATATATAATAAAATCTGGTCAAAAATTATTAAAGTTGAAAAGTATATTTATTTATTTTTAATTAAATTCTTTAAATCCTATTAAAAAATCAATTTTGACAATGATTTTTTTTTTTGAATAAAAGGTAATATTGAATTAAAAAGGATTGTTAAACAAAAAGTGGGGACTAGCTCAAAAACTAACACAAAAGTATCTAAATTTAAAAAATGACAAACCTAATCTATTTTTTAGATAATCACATTTAATCTATGTTAAATTGTAATTCAGTCTGTTAAAACTATGTGTCGAAGGGATAGCTTGTGGATCGAAGCAAACTAGATTTGTTTTAGATTTAAATAGATTTGATTTAAGTCTAGAATATATTAGATTTGATTTAGTACCAAAATAGATATTTTTGGCTTTGGACTTAGGGTGCAAGCTCAGTTATAAATAGAGGGAGTAACCCCTATTTTTGTAAGCAAGTCATTCACAATATTTTGCAGTTGCAAAGTGAATAAGAAAGTTTTCACAGTTTGTGAGCAGAGAGAAACTCTCCAGAAATTATTTGTCTTGTCTTCTTTCTTTGTTTGTCTCATAATTAAATTGTCATTATGGTAGAAATTCATCATAGACTTTGGTGAGTTTCCAACATCTAGTATCAGAGCCTTTGGTTCGAGAAAGAGACCGGAAGAGTGTGAGAGCATTGTGGACTCACACTTTTGGGGGAGTGTTGAAATAATATAGCAAGTGTGAGTAAGTGGGGAAATAGTCCCACATTGGATAGGAATGTGGAGACTTAAGCATATATAAGTGGGAGAAACCACCCACCTATCACCTTAAGGTTTTAGGTGGATAAGTGATGTGTCTCTCACAAAGATGTCTAGTCCTACATTGTGTATCAATGCTCCTAGTATCTCCCCCCAACAATGGTATCAGAGCCAGAAATCGACATTCCAAATGAGGTACGTGAGGAATGTGTGCAGGTGAAGCAACACAAGAATAGCTTTAGCAAGGATGCAAGAAGCAGTTCGAAGGTTATTCTTGAAGACATATACTCTGATGTATGTGGACCAATCTAGGTGGATTCGATGACAGGTAACAAATACTTTGTTACATTCATAGATGATTTAAGTCGAAAGCTATGGACTTACCTGATCAAGAAGAAAAATAAAGTGATCGAGGTATTTTCCAAGTTCAAGTCTATGGTCGAAAGACAAAGTGGTCGAAAACTCAAAGTTTTGAGAACTGATGGTGGTTGAGAATATGTGTCGAAAGACTTCGACATGTTATGTGAAAAGGAAGGGATTGTGCATGAGGTGGTGTCACCCTATACTCTACAACAAAATGGAATTACAGAAAGAAAGAATCAAACCATCATGAATATGGTGAGAAGTATGTTGAAAGGCGAGAATTTACCTAAAGAGTTTTGGGGTGAAGCTGTTTCGACTGCAACTTACATCTTGAACAGATGTCCTACGAAGAAACTAGAAGAAGTTACTCCAGAAGAATGTTTGTCTGGTGTGAAGTCTAGCTTGAGTCATCTGAAGGTATTTGGATCTATAACATAAAGACATGTGCCATATCAGTTGAGAAGAAAACTTGATGACAAGTCAAGTCAAATGATTCTAGTTGGATATCATTCGACAGGAGGCTACAAGTTGTTCGACCCAGTGAAGAAGCAGATTGTGATCAGCAGGGACGTGATCATAGATGAGTTTAAAAATGAGATTGGACTGAAAATGTCAAGAAAGATTCAGTGAGAGTCCTACTTAAGTAACCAGAGACTCGAGTCGAAAGAGAAGTTCGACAAGAGGAACCAGCAGATATACCAAGTACAAGCAGACCTCAAAGCACAAGACGCATGCCTGCAAGATTGCAATATTGTGTGATTACATCAGATGATGTGATAGATGATGAAGGTGAGCTGGTACATTATGCTTTCTATGCATATGTCGAACTTGTTAATGCATCTGAAGCATTGAAAGATTCGAAGTGGGTGAAAGCAATGAACGAATAAGTAAAGTCTATCAAAGACAACAACACTTGGTCACTTGTCGAATTGCCTCAAGGAAAGAAGACAATTGATGTCAAGTGGGTATACAAAGTGAAAATGAATTCTAAAGGGGAAGTAACTCGACACAAAGCAAGGCTTGTGGCGAAAGGATTTCTACAGAAAGAAGGAATAAACTTTGATGAAGTTTTTGCACCTATTGCTAGGATCGAAACAATCGGGTTGGTTGTTGCTCTAGAAGAAATAAATAGATGACACATATGTCAGATGGACGTAAAGTGTGCATTCTTGAATGGACCCTTATACGAAGAAGTTTATGTTAAACAACCAGTTGGGTTTGTGAAACATGACGAAGAGAGAAATGTGTACAGGCTGTATAAAGCCCTGTATGGATTGAAACAAGCTCTAAGAGTTTGGAATAAGAAAATTGATAGTTTCCTAAGGGAGAAGGAATTTGTGAAGTGTACAACTGAACATGGAGTATATGTAAGAAGAAACAAGAGTGAATTGCTTATACTATGTCTCTATGTAGATGATTTGTTGATAACAGGTAGCTGCAAAAGTGAGATCGAAGATTTCAAAGGTGATCTCAGTAAGGATTCCAAATATCTGATTTTGGTGAGATTTCATATTTCCTTGGAATCGAAATCTACAAGAGCAGTAGAGGTTTGATGATGCATAAAAGAAGATATACAGGAGAAATTCTCGAGATATTTGAGATGGAAGAATGCAACTCAACTTCGACACCTGCAGAACCAAGACTGCAACTATCAAAAGATGAAGATGAAGACGATGTCGATCCAACCCAATACAGAAGACTTATGGGATCATTAAGATATCTTTGTCATACAAGGCCTGACTTAGCATATAGTGTAGGTATGGTAAGTAGATTCATGCAGAAGCCAAATGTATCATATCTAGCTGCAGTGAAGAGGATACTGAGGTATCTCAAAGGAACTCTCGACTATGGTATTTTGTTTCCTGCAACTGATAAAGGAAAAGAATGCAAGTTAGTAGGATACACTGATTCGAGTTGGTGTAGTGATGCTGAAGATCGAAAACCAACAGCAGGATATGTGTTTTTGTTAGGTGGTGCACCAGTTGCTTGGAATTCAAGAAAGGAATCAGTAGTGGCATTATCATCATGCGAAGCAGAATACATAGTTGCTTCTCTTTGTGCATGTCAAGCAACTTGGATTGTGAACTTGGTCGAAGAGATAACAAGGAAAGATCATGGAGCAGTTACCATGAAAATAGACAGTATGTCAGCTATCAATTTGGCGAAGAACCCAATAGCACATGGTCGAAATAAGCACATCGAAATGATATTCTATTATCTTCGAGAGCAGGTAGCAGATGGGAAGATGAATTTGGAATACTGCAGAACTGAAAATCAGATTGCAGATATCATGACGAAGGGAGTGCAAGTCGAAGTATTCAGAAGAATAAGAGCCATGATGAACATAGATAGTTTAGACACAATGAATTAGGTGGTGTGTTAAATTGTAATTCAGTGTGTCAAAACTATGTGTCGAAGGGTTAGCTTGTGAACTGAAGCAAGCTAGATTTATTTTAGATTTAAATATATTTGATTTAAGTCTAGAATAGATTAGATTTGATTTAGTAACAAAATAGATATTTTAGACTTTGGACTTAGGGTGCAAGCTCAGTTATAAATATAGTAAGTAAGGGGGAAAAATATTTAACCATGGCACTATCACAACAAAACACTCATCCTATTACCACCACCTCTTCCCTATCACTTCCTAAACTCTGTAAAAAGACCGATACCCATAAAATAGAAAACCTTGTTGAGTATTCTTATGTTCCAGAAGATGCTCAAATTTCCGAAACAGTACCTCCCCTTTTAAGCCCTTATAATATCTTCAAAAAACAAAGAACAATTACCAGATCCATCAGAAACCTAATCTCTACCAATCGCCCTCATATGAAAGAATACGTCCAGTCATCTCGACTAGATCAATGTAGTTTGAGAGCAACAAACCAAGAGCAGTATGTGGATTTAGAGATTCCTCAGAGTCTCATAAATCACTGGAAATCTGAAGGATACACAGCTTTACATTTTGGAGCAGTTAGACTCATCCTCTCTCTCCATGGAAGGAAAAATCAGCCTGTCTTCTGCAAAATAGCTCTCCTGGATTCAAGCTATCTCCATTATGAAAATGATGTCATAGGGACTGTTCTGACCTCACTTCATGCGGGAAGCGTTGTTCTTACTGTTTTTCCAAATTATAATGTAAGCCTCAACGACAGCACCCTATCTACAAGACTAAAGGTCCAAGTCCAAATCACTGGATCTGACCAAGTTCCAGAGGCCATGTCTGCTACTCTCCATCACCAAATAATCTATCGCCTACAAAATCATTCGATAGATTTGCCTCTCACGGGATGTTCTTCTGATTCTCTGTTAGTAGTTACTAATAGAGAAGATGACATACCCTCTATTGTTCAGATTCCAAGAAAGATC